AATGGTTTTAGAAACTCTATACCTTATAATCTATAAATGCTTCAGTCATCGAGTGAAAATCATTTAGCATGATTGGCTTTGCATTTATTGCTTAGGTGCGAATGTCTATACGGTTCGTAAATTCGGTAATATTTAACAAAACATCAGATGATTTTTGATGAATTTTGATGATGGATGTTTTCACAAGAAAAAAGAAATAAATATTCCATGTTAAAATATAAAAATGGTATATTTAAAAAATTTAGCGCTAGTTTTTAAGAATATAATAGAATGAATGAACAATTAATTATTTAAAATAAGGTTCCAAGCCATGGGAAAACATTTGATGACAAGAATGAATCAAGTCTACATGAAATTTTTTCTATAGGTAAGCATCTTTCGTTTTTTCAAAGAAAGAAAGTTTTTTTTTGCACAAACGGTCGAGGATGGCCTACACTATATATTTTTAAAAGGGCCTCCCCTTATCTAATAATCAGTGGTTAACTTGGATGTTAGGCAGCTATGAATGGCATTGCTTATTGTTAGTCACAAATTTAAAATAATTATATTTGCCTGTGAAAATAAAATTTGTTCGATGAAGCAAGCTAAGGGATTTAGCAGGGGTAACAAAATTCTCATGCCACTCTTCATATGTCGCATATATTTGCGAAGTTTGTGTTCCTTCTGCTATTATTGTTCACAAAAAATTTTAGTGTTATTTTATAGGCGATTCTATAAAATAAATCATTAGCATTTAAAATTTTCGTATAAATATCTTTCAGTCAATTTAAAAGCTTTTATCATTTATCGAAATCGTTGCCGATAATATAAATTAAGTTTTTCAGGCAAACGAGAATTGCACTGATAATAATTTTCCTATTATTTAGCCCTACTTTGCGTTGCAATAAAAAAAATTTTATTGTTCTTTTATTGATCTTCTGTTGTACAAGGGAAAAAAGTGGGAAAAAGAATATTCTATTCCTAAATCGACGATAATAACTTCACCTGTTAAATGCACGAAAATAAACTGATTAAAGGAATGATCGTGAATTTAAAGGTATCACTTTTGTAATGTAATATTTTCGATGCAATTAATCTAATTTACAATGACGATGGTTTATCGAAGCAAAGTGCAAGTGAACACATCAAACACTCCATTATCAACACTTAAAAGATATAATTAATGAATATCTGCGAGAAATTTCGGAATTCGGCGATTTTTCGTCAAAATTCATAGTTTCATTATCAACAACCAACACTAATTTAATTTTTTAATTTTAATTTTTTAACACAATTGAGTCAGGACGAATTGCTAATATTGTCTCTGCCATGCTTTCGCTCAAAATACAAACCGACAAAATACTCGCATATTATTAAGGTCCAAGTAATGTTCAAGCTTTTAGTATTTAGCATGCAAGCCTAAGCCTTGTAATTCTGGGCAAAAAATGTAGAACCCTTTTGATGAAAAGAAATCAGTTTATAACTTTCTACTGAATAACTTTTCTCTATAGGTTAGGCTATTATAAGCTGATATACACATCTCTTTCTAAAGCCCCGGAATAGCGTAGGCGGGCGATTAATATGGACTGTGACAACAACTGTTTGAATTGCAGCTAACCCTTTCTATATTTCCGGTAAATGACCTTGGATATTCTATGAAAGTTTATCTGCCTTACCTCTCTTAATTAGCTGGTACTGAGACTCTTTTACGAGAGCTAGTGATTGTTTGGCAAGTTAGATTCATAAGAAATTTCTAGATTTACGTGAAATTTGCAGATACAATCTTGAAAAGGTGAATTATTTAGGCCGAATAAGTTATAAACGTTGGAAATTTTTTTTTTCAGTTTTTAATTTTATGGAAATATTTTCATTTTTTCAGTAGGCTAAAATCGGTCGGCTGATAAATAATTAGCTTAGTTTTTCGAAGATTAGTTTATGTGGAAAGTGTTGTTTTGTTTAACAAATGAATAAAAGAATGCATTAATCGAATTCTTCCTAAAGTGTTGAATACCAAAGATGAGGAAAATTTTTCTACGAAAAAACTCTTCGATAAAATCCTTTTGGCTTATGGCATTTAGCTTTTCTCTGTTGATCCTTCAGAACAATTTCCGAAATTTCTTTGTCTATTTCTTTTATAAGCTATCTTTGATGAAACTTTTTGTCGTTCTCATGAGCCTTACAGCCACCAACTGCAAAGCAATTTATTAATATATCTCATTTTCATTCATTCACCCTTTGAGCGTTGACGGAAATTGTTTATTGAATTAGTTGCACATCACTTGAAATGTGAAATATGTTACTCTTGCTAAGTAGTCACCAATGATATAGGCTGCCAATCAGATGAAGCTTCGGTGAGGCGTTTACTTTTGCTGCATTTCGATGGTTTTGGAAAATTTCCGAAGCAAGATTATTAATAAATTATTATTTGCATACGCTTGCTAGCTAGTTCGGTCTTTTCCATGTTTTTATTCTCCTGTTTGATTAGTTAATATTTTTGGATAATTCATTTATCTACCTATCATCTACTTACCTTACACATTTCTAAAATTTAATTTCATGTTTTAAATTCGATTTGAGGCTTTTCACAGTAAAGTCTAACAGAGAAATAAATCTTGCTCTTTTAATCGAATTCATGTTTTTCCTTTGTTGATGACGGCTGGTTTTCTAAATTAAGTCGTTTTGCATTTTGCACTAACCGTACTTTATCTATCAAGAAAATCATAAATGCATTTAATTTATTTTCCGAAAGTATTTCTTTCAAAACAAGGGAAATATCCAATATTTTACTTCAAATAAATGTCAAATGTTCACAAATTTTCAATTATCAGGAAAATCTTATCATTTTTTACCATTTCTTTAAAAAAAGACAAAGAAACTTTTCCCATTTTCTTATATAATCTCGCAAATATTTATAGTGATTTAGAATATTTATTTAAAATTTCCCTATGTTATGTTTTGCTTTTGCTCACAGTCCGCTATTAATTAGTAATACCCTGGCGCTGATGTGCAAATCCATTAAGCAAAAACGCTGATCCGGATCGGTCATAGTCGTCGTCTTTCGTTTTCCTTATTGATTATATCCTATAGTGGGATGATTGGCATTATTTTTTAAGCCTTAAGAATAAATACAATTTGAATTTATTTCAAAAGCAATTTTATTATAAATTGTACTAATAAAAGATAAAGAAAAATTTTTCATGTTTTTTCTGTTAGCGAGCATAGTTTCATGGATTTGCCGATGAACACGTCGTGTCCGCTAAATTTCTTGAATGTTTTTAATGGAAGATTTAATTTGCTACATACTTTTGCACTTTTTTTGTCTTTTCCTAAATTTCAAAAAAATTATCCGCATTATTTGCATAGTAACTGAATCTTGTCGGAATCTAATCAGTTCAATTAGGCGTTCGACCAAATATTACACTTAAGAAATTTTAAACTTCATTTTTGCCTCGAAGTTTTAGACATCAAAAAAGAAACTTTAAAATTTATTTTATATAATGAACTTCGATGATTAAATTTGATTTTAAAATTTGAACTTTTTTAGAAAAGGCTTTTTTAGAGAATGTTTCATAGTAAAATCTAATATAAGAATATAAGAAATCCCATAAAGAAAAAACAATTTTCACACCGATAGTACTTTGATATATGGAAGGAGTAAAGTTAGATTTATTTCTGTTTTCCTAATTATGAAAATTTTATGACATAGTTCTGAATCCTTTTGCACCAAAATTTCTTTTATTCTCAACCCTTCGTATGCTTTCTTTTATCCATTTGATCGCTATTTTGGCCAACCAAGCTTTTTGTGAACTTAGTAAAAGTACAATCCATAATGCTGCATTAGATAAATAAATATTTTTTGTCTGTTTGTTGTTGTAAATCTCTTTCTCAACGTTTTATTGGAACAATTTGTTATTGAAAATCATGTTAGAATCTTCTACCAATGTCTACGTCTGATGAAGATGAAGAAACTTAGCTGTTATGATATTCTTCTGCCCATAATGTTTCATTTGGATTTACTTAGCGATACGATTTTCACTGTGTAAAATCACCATAAGATGGTATTTATAAAATGAAGGAACAGAATCAAACTTTGACGAGTTGATGAATTAAATGTAATTAATCGAGATAAATGCTAAATGGTATTAAACACCATATAATTGGAAAACAAACACCAACCATTTTTCATCAATAATTTGACAAAACGAAAGCTTATATGCTGAAATTATATTTAAGTTGGATTATTTGCGATGAAAAATTCAAAAAGCCTGGTTTCCAACTTTTAGTTTTCAAACAAAAAAAGAAGTTGCAATTGAAAATCTTTATTTAATCGATCTTTTAGTTAATCACTAACTTATTGGTATCACTGATTTCATACATTATACTGAAAGTTCAAATGCTTTTAATCTATGCCGAAACTAAATAATTTAATCTTATTTTATAGAACATTAAATATTGATAAAAAAGAGTTACAGGGAGTTGCCAAACCTTCTAAATTTGCCTTTCGATAAATGTCAATTGCAAATAATTTCAACGATACCTCAACGCAAGCAGTTTGCTTCTATTATGTTAGTATTTTCAAAATACTTTGAATGACAGAAAAACTCTTAATTTTTAATTAATCAGCATGAAAGACTGTGGTTCTGGCATAACACGATTCATCATAAATTTAACAATATAATTAAAATTTTTTTTTTAGCTCACTTCATTTTTGATTTGGCCGGTTCCACAAATTATTAATATGCAAGTTGCCTAGAGACAAAAATTTAAGTTGGTTTACAGGACATATCATTATGTAATTTAGCCAGTCTGACTTGAAAATTCTTCCCAACAGCATTCACTATTTTGAATTCGGCTGACATTGGCTATTTAATCAGTACCGCTTCACCGGACAAATGAGGATAAAGACGAATTTTCAGCATCGGTTACAATTCACTTTTGATGGCAGGGTTTATTTCAGAAGAACCACAAAGTTTGGAAAGCTATGCTTGCTTTCTAAAGTTCAGTAACATACCAATTGTTCATTCGGTTTGAGGACCGTCTAAAATAATATACTTACCAATACTCTCTACCTATTCATTAAAAAAAATTTTTGCAGCTAATATTAACATAATTAAAGTAATAAAAATGAAATTTGTCAATGATTTGACAAAAATGCAGATATATACAGTAAAAAAACTAATTTTAATCTTCGCAACTAATTTTTAGAGCCAAGCGATAATAATCGACTAATGATGTACATCATGCATCATAAAAGCAACTTGCCAAAAAATAACAAAAGAATTGATTTACAAACAGTTTTCAAATTTTAAAAAAAATTTTTTTCATGCTATTTTTGTTTTTTATGATTTTTTAATGACCTTAATTCCTTGCTGAATTAAAAACGAGTAAAAATATCATTATAAAATAAAAAAATCATAAAACAGAGGAAAATTGGCGAATAGTTAAAAAAAATAAAGAGTTTAATATATTTAAAACATCACAAACTATTAAATAATATGAGCACAAAAATATTATCCTCAAATTTTTCGCATGAAATACTCATTGTTAACTGAAGAGTTTTTTCTTGATTTCAGGGAACAGATTTTCTTGATATCAAAATCTACTTAATTGGTGTTTTTGCTGCTTCAATCGCTATTCTATCGATCTATTTCAATACTTTTTTTACGATAGTTTTTACGCAGAATCCTTCGTTAAGAAGAACACCTATTTATTATTTTGGCATATTGGCGATCGTTGATATTATTATGGCATTCAATTATATTGCTTTGATGGTTGTGCCAGTGAGTTTCACTATAAAATTATTATATTTTAAAAAATTGCGCTGTGAAATTTCCGAAAATGAATTTGCGCATATATATTTGAATATTCATATAATCAAAATTTTTACGCAAAAATATTTATATTTATATTAATATTTATGATTTTATTTTTAAATTGTTTTTTAAAGTAGTAAAATTTTTATTTTTTAACTATTCAACATACATTAGGATGTCAAAAAAATTTTTTCCCTCCTCAATAAAATCTGCAATTATCAAATCCCATCACGCAAATTTTTACCAGAAATGCATAGGCAAAAAGTGGTTACTACTCACCATCGTTAATTGGCTTCACTCGATGAACATTTTTGCTGAAAGAGTTAGTCGTACGGTTGAACCGATCAGACCTTTTAAATTCAGTCTAATCGAGAGTAGACCGACTCCTCGAGTCTTCTCGATAAGATAATCTAAGCCACTATATCCACTCTGCTACTCCGCCTCATTTCCTTACCCTTATCTTCGGTTAGTCTTGAAACGTAATTTAACTGAAAATATTTGAAGGTATATATGGATCAGTTTGGTTTTCTTTGGCTTTATCATATATTTTTGTCATATCTGAGACCTGTGATAACAGAAAGTAATATTGCAATGTTCTCATCGCTGTTGCTAATTTTATTTGCGACGACTGAACGACTTATGCGAACTTTTAAGTCTCAACAATGTTTTACGCTTAGAAAGTAAGTGAACAAGTAATCATGAACTAAACAGCAAAAAATGAACGAACTGCGGTTGATTTCAACACTTTTCAAAATTCATCATTTTGTCAATAGAAGCGAAACGTTCACACCAATATAACTGAAGACCATAGTGAATGACGATTAACCTCATATTTCTTATTAGAAAATTGAAAATTGACTTTAATATAATAATTGAATATATGCGAAAAATTTGATAAAATAAAAATGCTAGTGAGAATGATCTCTAGAAAAACCCACATTTTGCGAACTTTTTATATTTATTATTTTAGAATATTTATCATTAACTGCTGGAGAATTACTTTCAATAATAAATAACATAGGAATTAGTTCATAAGATTCACGACAAGCCTTTATAATTTATTACACTTCCTTTCTTAATTTCCTTTAACCATATCGCGATTTCCTTTTATGCTTAGTTTTAGCTAAACAAACAAGTCAAGCTACATGGCGTCCCCAAAAGTTTTTCAATCGACGCTTTGATTACTAAATGAATTATTTATTATGAAATGAAATTACTGAATTCTTTAAAAAATAAGTTAAGTGCCAAAAATGTTTTAAGTCTTATAATTATTTTAAAAAATTCCACTGTCCTATATTCATCATCATCATTTGCACTTTCTTATTTCTTTCAATGATAAGCTCAGTTAGTTTTTGCACTTTTATAATAATAGCCAAAAAAAGGCAAATGATTCAAAAAATATTCTATGCTATCTTCAGTTTATCTATTTCTTAAGCGATTCAGCGTTTAAAGGTTCTTTACAAAAGGTAGAAAAGAATAAAAATTATGCAAACAATTCAAATTCAAAATTTTTCTCTTAATAATTTAATTTTGAACTTTCATTTCTACCATAAATCACTTACAAATGTTGAAAATCTTTTGGAAGACATAATCGAATTTGCTTTAGAATTATGGAGAGGAATAGGCCAAACGTTTGCCTCTTATGTATCGTAATTTCCATGATATATAAAACATGTATTTACTTTGAAATTCATTACGTTGAGTTATCGAATTGCTCAGACTTTTCTCAGTATGAAATTCAACTAACCACTCTTGCTCAAAATCCATCATATAAGTGAGTTAAATATAATATAATATAATATAATATAATATATAATATAATATAATATAATATAATATAATATAATATAATA